CCGCCCTCATAGAATTCCTCGTCTCTATTGTCAAAAAATTGAGACAGTCGATTTTCACAAGACTCTCTTGAAGCAAAATATTTTCCAGAAAAATCGTTCGACATGGACAAGTTTAGATGATAATCACTTCGTGCCAGGTCTGCACTATAAGGTGGATGCATTAGAACTTCCCAACCAAGCACTCGGAGCTTTTGAAGAATCATTATCGATGTGTATGGACTGACGTTGTCCTGATGGAACACAATTCCTCTCCTATTGGCTTAAGTTTATCGTGATTAATCTGGGTGATTACTTCGTTCAGACGGTACAATTCTTGACAATACAGTTTCGTGAAAACTAATTTTAGTATAAATAAAAAGTATAAATATTAAAACCCCTTTTTTAATTTTTAATTGTCTACTCCACTGCTATATGATGTATTTGAATATCATTTCACCACAACTTATAAAACATTTTAAATTAAAATTAATTATTTTTTTGGAATATAATTACCCCCTTTTAAATTTGAAATATCTACTTCTCTGCTGCATAATGTGTAATGTAGAATTAATTATATTGGTTAATGTACCTGTCCAATCATTATAGCTTCTTGGCACACCATAATCATATCGTAGCAATTAAATGTAAAAATGTAGCAATTTAAGATACTAAACAATTTATAGCACTTCAAATACGTCACCTTTAACTATAAACAAATATCATTAAACATTTAATAAACTAAAATTATCCAATTTTAATCGGAAAATCTAATTTATTTACCATGTACCATGGATATAAACGCAAGTAACTCAATTTAACATTTTCCACCATCGAACGTTCGGGGGGCCAAATTCAAATCCAAACCCAAAGCAGAAAAAAGCTGTGGAGAGCAGTAGAGGACTGGCTTGGTTGCTGCTGGAAATGGTACGATCACTTAGCAATTTTCAAACTGAATTTGCAAATTAATGCTTACAATTGGCAAAATAAATGTTAACAACTGAAAATTTCTGCATTTATCATGAAGAGATTAGAGTCGATTATAGGAGTCGAGAAGCTACTCAACGCTACCCAAGGCAACCCAACGCAAGACGCAAGGCCCGAAAAGTCAAAAGGAAAGTTTAGACCAAAAAAGGAGGTGCTCACTGTATTGGCCAAGAAATGAAAGAAAAACGATTAAATTGCAATAAATGTCAATGTGGCAATAAGTAAGCATTGCTTGCATTTAACACCAAAAACCAAACCAAATCAAAAAAAAATCCTATTGAGGATCGATCGGGTTGGCTCTGACTTTAACTTTAACTTTAACGGTTCAAATAAATTTTCTCCATTTGGTGCAAAGGTTTCGCCTGCCATGCCAAGAATAATAACGATTTTATTTTATTATCATTTTATTTTGTTATTTTGTTATTTTGCTATTTTGCCTTTTATTGACTTTATTTTTATATTGTATAAAGATATTTTTTTTAATGTTATCGTAGATGAAACAACAAATGCCCATTTTGTAGATGAGGTCAATAAAAATCGGGCACGTTAGCCCGAAGTCTGAAGCTTCCTTGAGTTCTGTTTTGGTTTGTGGCAGATTTAGTTTTCTTTTGGTTGGAATTGTTGGTCTTATTTTCTTGGTAAAACAATTTTGGTTTGAATTTATATTTGCTGTAGTTTTCAGTTGTATTTGCTTTTGGGTTAGTTTGGCCAATTTCTTTCTCTGATTTTTATTTATTTATTTTTTTCTATTGCTGTTGCTGCTGCTGCTGTTGCTATTGCTATTGCATTAGTTGCAACTTGTGAAATGCAAATTGTAACGTTCCCACGTTTGTTGCATGCTTAGAAATTGAAGCAACAGGGCAGGCAGACTTTGCAGTTTCTATTTATTTTGGCTACACGTATTTGGCAACAATTTGATAAGTCCAAATGCAAACCAACGGCTCAACGGCTCAACGACTCAACGGCCCAAATCAAATCCAATCCAATCCAAATGTGGTAATTTAGAAACTAAAATTTATTACTCATATAATTAGACTCAATCAGAGATGTCGGTTTGCTATTTATACTTGCATACGACCAGTATCGCATATACGGAGCTTTATGTTTTACAATCCATTTTTGGCACGGAACTACCTTTGTGTGATTTACTATTTTTTTCTACTGATTTACTGTTTTCGAATTGCACTTCAAATAGATTCTCACGCATAAAGTGAGTGATAGATATAGGTATACTTGTTGTAGTGATCATACATTAATTGCACAATTGTCATAAAAATCACTAATAAAATTTATGATTTTAAATAGTTTAGTTTGGTATATAGGTCAGGTTAGGTTACAACGGCGATCCAAAGGGATCTACTTAGGTCAATAAGTCCATTATGTCACCTTAGAATTAAAAACCCAACGGTTAGAACCACTTATAATGCTATTGAGAGGTAGGTCTTACAGTTCGCCAAGATCCACAAAAAAGAAAACCGCTACGTCAGAACCCACACATACGTCAGACAGAAACAAAGTAGATTGGATGCACTTTTATTGTCCTCACCACAACTGCGGCAGGTGTGGTTGCAAGGAAGATTTAATCTCTTCCTATAGGTCATTGTATCCTAGCATAATACAACGATCTGTAAATAGACCTACTACAAGACTGATATCTTTACGAGGCATCTCAATGAGATTCTTGATTTCTTTTGAGTTTTTCTTTGATTTAATTTTGATTTACAGATGACTGCATATCGTTGAGTCTGCCCATCTGTTATTTAAAAGTTAAGCTCAGGAAGAGCGCAGTGCCACTTAACATGATGTCAACAATATGCTCAGATTGTTTAGGTGTTCTGGAAATATCCCTTTGACCGGGAACCCAGATTAGAAAAATATTGAACTACATTCACATCTTATTTAGAGATGTGTAGCAATCAAAGACTGTTCTAGATGTAAATTAGACTAAGCTCAAGCACTTTAAAGCAGCTTAACTGTCCGTACTTTGGTATATATATTTTAACGAAAACAAATTGGTGATATAACAATAATCTATACTAGTCATGAATATATAACTACTCTTTAGTTAGGATTTCTTTGAGATCCTTCAAAGAGTTGTTAGATCTAAGTAGGTTCGTAAACGGATCACTATCAATTTGAAAACCATGCTATAAGATTAAATACTGCCACAATGCCTTTTGCCCCATATTTGACGAAGTTAAAGAAAGCGTTTCACATCTCTTTTGTCATATTATAGCGCAGGGGCGCATACAGTGACATGTTCCAAGGAACCACAACATAGAGAAAAGCGTTTTATTTGTCTGTTTTTAAAAATAAAACGCCCGACGTTTCAATTAGTCTCCATCGTATCCGAAATATCAAACACTTATGTTAACATTCATTTTTCACTTACATATTTTAGGGATTATAGTAGTGATAATGTCAAATCATTATATTGATATGTAACGTACCCTATAAAGACGGGTGTAAAATCTTTTATTGGAACTTTACTTGGTCCAGAATGGTTATTTGTAAGAAATATAGTACATAAATAGGGAAACATATAATCACCATATATATATATAAGTTCTTAGTCAATTTGAAGATATTCCAAATTGATGAAAAGGTATTTGCTCTTATTTAAAATTAAAAAAAACTTCAATCCATTAAATTTTATATAGAAAAGTAATAGGCCAGTAGGCCGTAATGGACAGCTAGAATTGCCGTTATAACAAACCCAACCTAGAAGAACTTTTTGTGTAGTCCTTTTTGACTAGTCACGCATAAACACATAAATTCTAATAATGTCTTTTAGCTGCTTTCGTGCCTTAATGCACTCGAGTTTAATACATCTTTGGATCGCAATTGAGTCTAATCGATGTTTTGATCCTCTTCATAAAAGTGGCTATGTTTCTCTACTTTGATTATATTTGATTCAATTTAAATCCCACTCCCATCTCCTAATTTATTCGTAGTCCAAAATAATCCCTTCCACGCTCACAATACCTTTATCTGCCCACATTCTAACCCCATGCATACTTCTTTGGACCCTCCCTATCAAAATGTCGACCTTTCTCACCTAATCCATTCTTACTTCTAAATAATGTCATCCACACTCACACTATTATTACGTGTCTACGTCCTCACCAGTGCATATTTTTTCTGATTCCTTAAATGTTATATACTCGTACTTTGTAGATGCTTGTGGGCTACAACAATAACAGAAACACTCCTTATAGATATATTAAATAGTTATTTGCACATTGGTTTACAGGTCAAAAAGAGTAACTAAGATCACTGTAATAACAGTAAGAATAAATTATTAAAAGTTAAGAATAAGAATAATAAACAAGAATAAGCCTCTTTATATATAAATATTAAGTAATTATCTGATTTTGTCAAGGTTTGTAAACTGATCAAGATTTATACAGGAATACAATATGACAGTAGACTAAAGAACCCGTCTAGGATTCTCATAATAACATTACCTAAGATAGAAAAGCTCTCTATTAATATATATATATACTGACTATCTGAGCCCACAACGATTTGTATATTTAAATAGTTATATAGCTAATAAGAAATTGTATTTGTATTCTACTTTACTATAGGATTTGCTCTAATGGAAAATCATAAAAAGTGGTTCGATATATTTCCATGTATATCTTTCCAATAAAACTAATAACCAGCGTTATAGAATAATCAATTAGATATTTTTCTGCAGTTTTGTTTGATTCAAGATATATTAAATGTATGTAACGATTAATTTAAAATATGTATATATTAAACATTGTAAATATTCAGATATATACTGAGTTATTATTATACATTTAATGCATATATATATTATAAATATATATTATATCTTAAATACTGTAATTGAAATTTATTTACGATTCTAAGTAATTGCATTTATTTGGTTTCATTATATGTGCATATAGAATTTCAATTAATTGTAGTTTTTCAATTTCATCACATTATTTTTTAAAAATTCATATAATTTTAAAATAATTTTAAATAAAAATAAAATAAAACACAGGTAATATTGAAACACTTACCTTTGGAGTATGATAAATATCACTTTCGGTATTTTTATTACCGCCAACACCAATTTCACTCATGTAGTCGCCCATAATGTCAGTCTCTTCGACGCCATAAACGCCAAGCGGAATCGAAGGTGCTGTAGCATTAGTCAATTGATTTAGATTTGATAATCCTGACGAATATTTTAACTTTTTCTTATTTGAAGCAGCTAATTCTTTATCGCGCCTTGCTTGAAATACTTTACGTTCGAAATCATTAAAATAATCAACCGTAGGCTCAGCACCTTTCAAATTGGAAATACTATATGCCATCCATTGTTCAACAAGTTCTGCAGCGTCAATATGATACGACACACATAAATCTAGACCTATTAATAAGAAATATATATAATAATGTTTTACTAAAAAATAATAATAATAATAAAATAAACAGAAGCACGCTTTATATTTCCATCAACAAATTGTTGCTTATTTTGTTAATTGACCGCATGTTCACCTTTTGCAATGACTGCTGCTGTAGGTTCTACGCCAAGCTCATCGAATTGGATTCTTAATTCTTCATCCATTATTGATACAATTTCTTAAGTTTATTGTAATAAATAAAGATATTACTTTTGTAAATAATAATTTATGTGCAAATAACAAACGAAATTCACTTCAGCTGTTCCGTTTTTCGCGCTAAAATAATTTGTTTATGAAATGTCAAACTGAACTGTCAACTGACAACTGTCAAACGAGCCGATTTTTTTCTAGATAAATCAGATAATCGGCGAAAATGACAAACAGCTGATTTCAGATGAACAAAAAAAATCACAGCATAGGTTTTTGTACAAATAGGAAAATAGTATAATTTTTTTTGATAAAAATGGTGATCGGTGCCTTTCCAGCAGCAAAACTTGGTATTCTAGCAATTAAACAAATAAGTAAACCTGTTGCTAATGTTATAAAAGCCAACGCTAAGCAAAGTCCGACCTTTCGGAAATATATTTGCATGCCACCTGCACAGTGTAAGTGAGAGGCGAAGTAGTGATTAATAAATTGTTTTTTTTTTTAATTGCATAATTTTTAAAACATTAATTTTATGTTTTATTTACAGTTTATAATTGGGTGGAAGTGAAAACAAAAATGTGGGCTTTGAATTTGGGCAGACCAGTTACAGTGCCACCATTAAATGAAGCTATGGCTATAGAATTGGGTGCCAATTTATTAGGAGAATTTATAATATTTGCTATAGGTGCCGGTTTATTAATATTAGAATATGCACGGTAGCTATTGAGCTAAATATATGTATTTGTTTATATATATTTTTTAAATATATTTTTAATGTACAGACAGAGCAAAAATGAGTACAAAAAACAAGAAACTCAGAAACAAGATAGAGCAGCTTTAGTCACTCAATTATCGGAAATGGGTTTCCGATTAGAAAGACAAGATGCACAAATTCGAGAGTTAACCAGAGCACTAGCCGATGTTGGTATGTATCGTGTTGTGGTGAATATAACAAATGCACTTTTCATAATGTCGTTAATGTAAGAGAACATTGAATGACTGACTGTACATTGTTCAGTAAAGCTTAGAATGTATTGCTCCCAAACAAAATTTGCTGACTCTGCAATTGGTTCGGTCACAAAAATTTTGCAATTTTGCATATAGTCTTTTCGTTTATCAATCTAAAATAAGGAAATAGTAAGGGTAGAAAATTTTCATTATGAAAAATGTTACAGATCAGGGATTGGTTTATATTTATATATATTAAACACAACAAAACAATAGAATATTTTATTTATAAATATGATTCAGAAACCGGTAATTATATTAGAAAAAATATTATTGGAAGGAAAATTAGAATCATATAAAACATAGAGACACAAATTGTTTATATTTTTAACAAAAATTTTTAACAAAAAGTTTTTAACAAAATTTATTACTACTCAAATCGTGCAATTGCTTTATAGAAATATGACTCCAAATGGCTAATATTATTAACAAAACTAGTAGATTTTATAAAAAAATATTTTATGAGACTTATATAGTATATCTTCCTAGCCTTCAGTACCACTTATAAAACCTATTAGCTTTTGTGACAAATGGCAATTAGTCACCTAGGTAGACGGGAGACTTCGAACGCTCCTGGAACCATTGTTAACACAAGATAAAGTAGCTTAAATGTCTTTACATTATAATAAATATAATATCATCAATAATTACTCACAAATAACTTAATAAGTTAGAATATGTAGAGGATTCTATCAACACTATTCATTCTCTTTGTTTCATTCGTGCAATATCATTTTTAATAAATAAATTTTAGAAAGTGTGATCAAATTAGAATTATATATTTTGACCTTTCGAATTAATAAATTAATTATGTGGCGAGGTATCAACAAGATATGTGGCAAATTTGATCACTCTGTATATATTTTAAGTTTAATTATTAATTTAAAAAAATTAATATAATTTTTTTATTAATAAAAATCTCTATATTCTCAGGTGCTACAGATTTAAAGAAAGTTCAAATAGATAAATCTATAAATGCAAAGTCAGAACAAAAAATAATAGACACGAAAACTTTAACAAAAATTCAAGAAACGAAAGAACCAAATAAAAATCAAAACAAAGATAATAAAGTTTCAGAAATCCTTGAAAAAAAATAGGCTATTTATTATTAAGAAAAAAATAAAAATTAATCAACTAATTTTATTTACGTAGATTCACGTTCCATATTTAAATGGCATAAAGAGGCCATACCCGAATATAAAACATTCGATCCAAATACTCCCGATCAAACCTCTAGAGTGACAAAAAATTTTCAAGGGCTTTATAATCCAGCTGAAGGAAATTTATTTAAATCATTAAATTTTCTGGAAACGCAAATATTTGGTAATAGACAAAAACACCAACAACAACAACAACATCCTTTGCTGGAAATGTCAAATGTCACCGATACGGAATCATCTACCGAAGTTGTATATACCAATGAGAACTTAACAGTGCAACCAGAATTAACGCCTATCGAACAAAATAGTGAAGTGAATATAACATTGGAGCAGGAGAAAAACTGATTGGAAATGCAGAGCAAAGAACTGTTAATCCTTAACAATGAAATTGTTAAACTGGAGTTTGCCTTGAAAGTTGCTGAAGAGCTTCATCACAAAACATAATTTTATGTTACCCTCCTTGAATGCAGAAGTACTTCTTTTAGTTGTAGAATTCTTAAGGTTATAAATTATTTACGCATTTTTATTTTATTTAAACATTTGTACATGATAACACACAGAGCCGTTTTGTAGTAATTTGTTCATATATGAAATATTGTAAATATATTTTCCGTCAATTTAAGCGAATATTTTGTAATTAGAAAATTAATAAAATCATTTTCATTGTTAAAGAGTTATGACATGGTTTACTATTACTTCCTCCATGTGGGTAAAAGAAGATTTATATGATATCATTTATTTTCTATAATGTCTTGACTATATCAAATTTGATTTTAATGTCAATATAACATTAGCGATTATTTTTACTCAATGGAAACTGTGGCATTTAATAGAGAGGTAGTTTACTACTTTTCGAAACATCTCTTTGTCTTAACTATCTTTTACTGCCCTCTCTAACTTCTCTTTGTCTTAACTATCTTTTACTGCCCTCCCTAACTTCTATTTGAGTATGGAGTATTAGAAGTAATATTGGTAACACATAGAGATCTACGTAGCAGGAAACATGAAATGAATTACACATATAATCTCTCTGATCGTTTCTTTTCAACTTCTATATGCCCAAACTGCCGGACCTCGCTGAGGGAGTCAGAGTCATTAGGTATGCTTATGATAGTACGATTCTAACTACGGGCCAGAACCACTCTATATTTTGCAACAAGTGAATCCGTACCTTTCCTTTGTGGTATCGTCTTTTAACAAAAGAAATCTTCATCTATATTTAAATAAATCCATTGCCACCCTCTTTACTTACTGAACTGAAGAGGTAACTTTGACTCTGCTCATAAATATCGGTAAATCCAAATCTTCACCAGACACAAAATCCTGCGTGTCGTACTTGACAGCATGTTGACCTTTTCTAAACATGCCACGGCTATGTGCTGTGGGATGATACATTCGTCGATCCCTCTTATCATAGATATATCGACACTTTTTTCAATAGAGCTAACATCAGCTCAGGTCAGTTAATCGGTCGAAAATATTCTAGAACTTACAGCCTTCCACACATACAAGGTTCTCAACATGTTCCTGCTAAACTTGCCTGAGGAAGAGCAACTTTTTCCCCGAGCTCCATTCAGTCAAAGTGGCAAATCTTCTATATTCATCTTTTGTTTCTATATCTTTCCTTATAATCTCATCTCAAACAATGTCATCGTTTGTGATCAATGTAGGTTTGTTGCTTGTCAGTTCTCTTCGGGTGGAGGCAACAACTCACTATACAAAAATCAAATGCTTCGCCAAGTTATTGGTCCCAAAAACGGTCAAGTCTATATCCCCGAACTACTTATCGAGTTCAATGACTTAGTTCGTACCCATGCACTCACTAACCCATTAGCCATCCACACCCTAACCCATGCATTCGGCGAGTAATTCTTTTCACGTCATGTGCTTTCTAGATCCTTGAGGGGCACTACAACAACAACGACAATTAAGTGCCGTTTAATATTCATAAGAAAAGGACTGCACAGGCAAATCCCCGCAAACTAGAATAACTGCAGTTTTTTTCAATTTAAAAATAATAGAATTTTTTAAAAAAATATAAATTTATTTTTTACAATAATTTGTTAACTATATTATAATGTAAAAATATAGCGGGGGAACTGATATAAGATGTTATGCCAGAAAAAAGATTACAACAGAAAATATATAATCTGTATTAGCTTAAAAAATAAATTTATTACTTAAGCATATTGAATGCAATATTTTTTATATAATATACAGTAATTATGAATAGAAATATAAAGAAAAATAAATAAAATCTTAATACAGGCAATTTAATTTTTCTTTTAACTAAAAATAATTATTCTTTCTGTTTATGTTTATGTAAAACTAAGCGAGATGAAATTTAATTATGTATTAATGATAAATAACAAATAATATCAGTTTTATGTCTCATTGAATTTAGCAAATGCTTGCATTCGTTCCAGTTCCTTTGGATCTTCAATGATTTCATGGAGGTAAGTACCGAAAGCGCCACCAATTTTATATAAGCAACGTTTCAGAGAACCTTTTAAGGAACACGTATAACGATCTGATTTTTTTCCATTCAAATTGACATTGGTTAATTTGTCCAACTGATTTTTGAGTCTGAGCATTGCTGCTATGATATTAGACAATTTTAATTGCACGACACCGTATTTGTCCTCCACCAATGAAACTGCACAGATATTAGCCAAACCCTGCAGTATCCAAGTAATTGTCTGTGTATTTCTCAGCAAAAATGCAGCCTTTGCACCTTCCTGCTCACCAAACATATAGAAGACGCCAGGTATGGAGTAAAACATATTGTGCATCGATGCTTTGAAGTTTGCAACAAACTGAATGTATTGCGCATTTAAGCGTTCATAAGTTGCGCTAGCTTTACTAATTTCCACTGGTGCAGTTTTAGCTGGAGCTGGCGGCGTAGGAGGTGGTGTATCTTTCGTCAATGAACGTATACCATACATTTTATTATATTGGCGTAGTAAGATTTTTTCAGCTGCTTCCGTCGCCGTGGGTGTCACTTCAATAAGTAATTCAGTTTGTTTGATGCTAGATATGCGTTGTATGGCAAATGTGAGTTCGTCGGTGTATTCCTTGAGCACCTTAAGACATTCATTGGATAACTCATTCCAATTATTGGGATGTGAACCTTTAACAGATATAACATTCTGATTAGTATGTACAATTATGTAATGGAAAAGCACTTACCAGGCACTGATAAAGCGAAAACTCTTCCTCTTCTTTCAATTGATTTATTTTTGGATACGTTGTATAGATCTTTTGCGGCAAGCATTTGTATAACGGGCACATTTGTAGCTGCTAGCGCTTCACTTATAGTCAATGCTGTATCGTATGCGAATGCACTTTTGCATTTATCTACAGAGAACTCTTTATCCTCACACAAAAATATCACAAAGAAACGTTCCATAATGTGCATGTTTGATATTATATGTGCACTTAATACCCAAGTATATAGTAATAAACGCACATTGAGCAAAATTGCAGAAAACGTGAGTAGACTTTCATCAACTTCTGCTTTTATTATGTGCGCTACACGTTTATTGATGCAACTGCCAAAAAGCCAGTAGCAAGTAGCTAAGCATAACATTGGTGCCAAAGTTTCTACTATGGATTTATACAGGGTGCTGTAAAGTGTTGAACGCATTTGCACAAATTTCTTTTCTTCAATTATTGGAAATTCTATATGCGGCTCTTTACGCAAGTTCTCGCTGAAAAAGTGTAGACAACCGGCTACAACACCAACAATCGGTAATAAAATAAAACGACTATTCACGCAATCTGTGCCATAACATTTCACATACAAATTTCTATAAGAGAAAATGGTAAAATTGATTAACATTAGATAGTCTTCTAAATATATTAAATTATCTCACCTATAATCCGCATGCAAGAAGTTAGCATATATGCAGGCCGTTAACAGTCCAACTGCAACGTGCATTCCAAAAAATATTATCTTGCGAAAGAGCACATTTGTTAACCACATAAAACGCGTCTCATAATATCTTTTCCTTGCCAAGTGCAATTTCCCAAGCACAACGCCATATCCGATGATTGCAAAGAGCAATGGCAGACTACTTAACCAAGTTCCAAGCGAAAACAGATCGGAAAAGATTTGCGACAACCAGCGTATCGGATGAAATGCACTAAAGTTAATAACTAACAAAAACAGTGACAAAAGTAAATATTGCAATAAAACACTTAAACATAAAGCTTTAATGCAACGTTTTATGCAGATTTTTCTGCACTCCAAAGTATTTGTCATTTTTGTTAATTTTTTACTTCACCAAATTTGCCGGCAAATAGGTTAGGTAAATTTTTAATTCAATTGTTAAAGATTTGCAACTCGACAAATGTACTTGTTTACGATATAACTCTTTCTGCACTTATTGTTTTATTACAGTTTACATATATTAAAATCAAAAATACGTTTGCACATAATTTTCGCAGGCATTACAAACTTCTGTCAGTTGCTCCCGCAATTTTGAATAGATGACAGCTGAAGATGAAGTTAGCTATGTTTAATACACAAGACAATCAGAGATTATTGGAATGGAAGAAGAAGTAAAATATTATCACTCTATTGAATAAAATGTGAAGTACTTACATCTGTGTGCGAGTTCGAGTAAGTTGAGAGTAAATTGAGGAAAATAGTATATTATGTCGCTATCGCAGTGAATGTTGGTATTTACCAGAATTTTGAGTAAGATAAATTAGATAAAAATTAGGTAAATTATGTGTTACCATTGTGTACATTTTATAAGATGTTTAATAAATAAATAAATAAATTTGAAAACTTTTAACCAAAATTAGTATATAAGTGCAATAAATAAATGGATATTAACATAAGTGTACTGCAAAAAATTCCTAGAAAATTTCAATTTACTTTTACCTCAATTTACTAGAACTCGCATACGGCCTACTAATGACAATAATTTACCATACTATGAGCTTATAGCACATTCACACTGTCTCATTTAGGCGGTTCTGTTCATTATAGCCACTAATGAGAATAATAAAAGTGACATTTATTAATACAAAACAGCTGACTTTAATATAACAGAAAATATTTAGAACATAGTGGAAATTTGTACTGTAACTGTTATTAATTAATTAAAATAGAGTGAAATCGAGTAAAAATAGAGTGAAAAATAATAATCCATACACCTGAAATCCACTAAACCTAAAAAAAACTACTGGATGTCATCCTTTTTAGTTATAGTAAACAACTTTTAAAATTTTGGAGATACAAATGGTGTTAAAATCATGTAACTTTAAACATTCGATTTGTATACAAAAAACATATGTTTTAATTAATTTGGGGCAGTATGAATACTTTCCAAATTAACTTAATATTATTTTAATGAAATTAAGGAAATTCAGGTGTCAGAACAGAGTATTAAGGTTTCCTAAACCGCTTAATAGGTTAGGGTTTTCTGGTCCTAAACAAACAAACGGCATTGAGGTTTTTCAATGAAGGAGGGGTTATTTTTCGTTAATGATTCCCTAATGTCTAACGGGAGTAAAACTTTGGATTAGTGTTCTTCCACTAGGCTAAATAAAAATTAATAAGTCAAAGAGAATGTGAGGTTAATGCGGCCAGTTAGGCAATTTGCCACCAACTTCAGCTCTATTCTACTAAGGAATGTTGTGTATTGTTGTAAAAAATAATCAGTTAGTTAAACTGCTAGTTACCCGGAGTATAGACGTTATTAACATCTTTTTTTCATATCCAAATTTCAAACAGAAACTTATTCTGTTGTAGATATCTATACTAGACTAACTAGTCTACAAAGGGAATTGAGACTGTTTAAACTCAACGCTTACTTTTTAAGTAAAGTCTAATAGTACTCAAATCCGTAGTGTCTTGAATAACGAAATACAATAGTTAATCAATGATTCTATCCATGTCAGTGGTGTTGATGGACATAAACTACATATTTGAGGATGCCTGAAGTTATCCCTTTCAAGCATTTTCTGTTGCTTTTTTTAGAAACCATAATAAATAAGAGTTGGAATTGAATAATCCAATCCTCATCCCATATTGATCCAGAGTCTAATATCTCTTGAGGATCGAGGATTATTTTAAAGATTTTTATAAGGTTTCGCTGAATTATAGTTGAAGTTCTAGATTGTCATATCGTCTTTGAACTGATTTCTGTGGTTTAATATTAACGATTCATGTTAGCTGATAGTAGGTGATCCTTAACTTAACCTTGTCTGTGATTCGTTGGTACCCAAAGTTTGTTCTCATAAGGACAAAGTTTTGGACAGTTGCCTGAGATGTCGCTGTGTCCAGAAACCTATGCGAGTTGGATGTAGATACGCCTAAGAAATCAACTGTGAAATCCAAAACAGAATTCAAGATTATTTTAATTTAAATAAGAACAAAAGTTATAAGAAGAATTCACCAAGAATTATAACTGAACACACGATTCTAACACTGGATTCGTAGGTTAAAATATTACCTAATAAAACTAAGTATTATCCTTTGTAACCATTTGGTCTTTAAGCCAAAGCTGAGTGTCTACTTTCTTTGTAAATATCGGGTTAGTGAAGAAACGGTCTTCAAAACATTGGTTTCTTTCGTTTGCAATCCTGAACAAAGATATAGAACCTGATTAATAGATTTCATTTGATCTTTATCATAACAGTTCTTGCACAGATCACCAGTCGGATTATGCCATCGTTCAAGAATGACGCTTAATTAATTTAATTTAATTTTCATAATTATGTCTGTAATCAGCCTTAAATGAAATTTTGTTGGTCATTTTTATTATATCATAGAAAAGTATATAAATTGATTATTAATATATACATCAAATATAAATAAAGTTACAAAAATTATAAGAAAAAAAATTTTACATACATTTTTACAAGGCATTACTTTTTAAAAGTCTAATTTTATTTATTTATTATTCATAATAATAAATTCATAATTATCTTGTAATCAGACTCATATGATCTTAAATATCTTGTTCATTATTATCGCATCATAGAAAATTTTAGAAGTTGAGTACTATATTAATATATTAATATAATTTATAATTAAATTAAATATAATTAACTTATTAATATATTAATTTATATATCAAATATAAATAAATTAAGTTATAAAAAATTTAAAAAATATGATTTATATATTTATTACGAAACAGCATTTTAAAAACTTGATTTCATATACTTATTATTCATAATTATATCTTATTATGTTGTTCATTTTTATTAAATCATAGAAAATTATAAAGATTAATTATATAATTAGTAGAAATGTGAATTCAAACAAATAAATTAAAAAAATTGATCAACTAAAAAATATTTTATATATTTATTACTACATATAACATTTTAGAAGTTTATTTTATTATTCATGATTGTGATCGTAATTATGTTGTTCATTATTGTCACAATAACGAAAATTTTATAGATTAGTTTATTATATTAATGCATTTATCAAAAAGATTAAGTTATAAAATATGTAAAAAATATTTACTTAATACAAAACATTTTCACATTTTAAGATTTGTTAATATTTAAATAATATTCCTTGAAATAGGTTTCCAATTGATTCTAATTATGTTGTTCATTATTATCATAACAGAGTAAATGAATAAGACTTATTAATTAATTAATATAAATGTGTATTATATAAAAATAAATCAAATTATAAAACAAATCAATAATATTTTATATATTTATTATAATATATAAAATTTTAAAAGCTTAATTTTATTTTTGTATATATTTCTCATAATTATCTTATAATCAATTACATTCCACACGTTGAGTAGTGTTAGGTAAGTTATTTACCACAGCAAAGTAGTGTTGTACAACGCATAAAGCTGTGTAATATTTGTGTAATTGAGCATATGACATAACGTATATGTCAAAAGACGAGTTTGTTATCTCAACACTTTCGTAGTGTATTTTAAGGTGTACGCACGGCAGTTGTGTACCCGGACGGTTTTCGTCGGTATTAAATAAAATTGTTTGAATTTTGAAAAGCTTAAAAAGTTTATTAATGAAAAAATAAAATTTTATTAAAAATAAATATTTGAAAATGTTTAATTCAGAAAAGTGTATGTATAAAATTATTCCTTGAGATGTGTTATGAGTATTTAAAAAAAAAAATAATGTGATTGTGTAGTGTAAAACGAAAAAAGTTAAGAAATCATAAGAGAAGAGTATGAGCACGAGTGTGAAATTGCTCAACAACTCAAATTCAATTTATTAAAATTCAATTATCATACATTTTGTTGTTGTTTGGTGAGACCGAAGTGAATGAAATTAAGAAGAAAAAAAAAAGAAAATATATATTTGAAAGTATTTTGAAAAAAAATCTATACAAATTTTCTTAAATATTTTTGGTGTTTCATTATTAATTAACACCTTAAATAAGGAATAAATATTTGAAATGAGAAATTTGTTAAAGAAAAATGTTGAAAATAACGTAAATAAATATAAATAAATAATTGTGAAATGTGCGTATTGAGGTCAACGTGTGCAGTGCAACGAAAGCAATAACAAAAATTTTATACTGTGCCGTAGCACATGAAAAAAAAATAACACAGCTGCTTGCATTGCTCAGCAGAGCACAACTTCAGGGCAGGTGTACCCTCTTCCATTAACTATCAAATCAAATAAGTTTATTATTATTGTTCCCCAACTACTTATGATAATATTTATAAATAATAAATACATATATATATATATATATAAAATTACAAGTTATATCGGCAATTGTAATTGTTATTATTAATAATATTTAAAGGTCAACAATACAACAACAAAAACAACAACAACAAATGAAAGTGAAATTTTGTGCTTTGCTAATAAAATCAACAATATAAGCAATTGTTGTTGTTACCTCAATTTTTTTCCATTCAATTCATTCAAGAAAAAAAATATTACAAAATTACGTGTCTTGTGTATACAATTAACAACAACAACAACTATAACAATTGCAACAACAACTATAACAACAGCAAGTACAACGGCAAGCAAAAGCAGAAACACAACAAAAGCAGCAGCAGCAACAACAACAACAACAACAGCAGCAAATCAGACAAGAGTCTCAAATTTTCAAAATATTCACCTACTTTTTTTCTTCGCTCTCACACTACTCTCTCGCATGCTTTGCAAGCAACAACAAAACAACAAAATACAAAAAAAACAAAACAAAAACAAAAACCAAAATAAAAAAAAAATAAACATTTCGTTTACGGTCGTGTTTTCTCTTTCCGCGCTCCCATTTTTTTTAATTAATTAGTAAATATTTTTCATCTTTCACAAAAAATTTTTAATCGGCTTTCGTAGATGCAAAAGCATTTTGCATAAATACATAAAATCAAGCAAAGCGTTAATTAAAAATTAAAAATGTGTGAAAAGTGTAATTCATTTACTTTGCATGCATGAAAAGCCTGCGATGAAAAATGCATAAAATATGTATTAATTTATTATTGCGTAAACAGGTGGGTGGCAATGTGGAATAACTTCTT